TCGGAGGGGTAAAAAAAAAAAAAATCCTGGAAGCCTCACGACTCCACCCCTGATGAAACCAAACACAAACACGGCCTCGGGTCCGTCTCACCTTCCGGTTCGCTGCACGCCAGAGCGACGGCGAAACGACTGCAATCGACGCGTCATTCTTCGAAACGACGAGTTCGAGTCGAAAGACGGGGATTTGCGGGTGACACACTTCTCGAGGACGGCTTGGAGCCTGCTTGGATTCCCTACTTGGATTCCCTCTCGTCCGAAGGTTTCAAATCTCAAATGGATTCGAATTCCCTCTTCCCCCGAGGGCTTCTCTCCGTGCCCTTATTTTTTTACTGTCACGAGTGGCTTCGAAAAGAATCACGAGGACGGGCGTCTCCGGGGAGGAATGATTAAATAATGGGAAACCGGTCTCGTCCGTGCGACCGTCTATTTATTTCCAGGTGAGGCCAGGAATCGGTGCAAAACGCGGCTCGGCAGGGGTTCCGCAGAAATTCGCAGCGACGTCGCTTCGTCTCGCATGACCTGCCACGAAATTGACTGAAGCTTTCGTTTTCACTCGGCCGTGGAACCATAAAGGATTCTCCCCTTCTGCGTAGAATGAGGGCGTGGAGTGGTCGTCAGCGGACGGCCAGGTGTCTTACTCTGATCGGGTGGGGGAGAGGAACAATAAGTACTCTCGTACGTCGGTACAAAAACACCTCATTCCCAGTCCTCTTCTCACGATCGGTAAATCATGCGTGCACGACGCAAACGGTCGTGGGGGTGGGTCTCGCACAGGCTGACCGTGAGAAGTCTCCCCTCGCCGATTCCGGTTCGACTCCATGACGATGGCCATGGAACCTTACAAACGATTCAAAGTCACTTAGAGGGCATGTTTTAGCGTTTCTCAGGCACGTTCGCAACAGAACGGCCGGAAAACGTGGCTCTCCGATGTGAACGAATCTGTATGCCCATAGACGCCCAGTTATCACATCAGTTTGCGTCACGAATGCTGGCTCAGCCATCCGCTGAGACCTGATTAATTCCTTCACCCCGGTCCCTCCCGACTGGGTACAGCGGCGCAAACCGAAGCAACACCTCCGTGGCCGTATCGAACACGGCGAAGTACGAGCCAGTCGAGGAACACTCGAGCTGCACGGAGATAAGATCAAGGAAATTCAACGTGGGAAGATAACTAGATCTCCCGGCCCAGTGGGGCTATGAAGTTGCTCCTTTCGTGTATCTATCAACGCACGAGTCCGTTTCATCGTCTGTCGAATCTCAAACGCGTCTGAATAGTCAGTAGAGGCACTCGAAGCCGAAGAGGAGGAATGTAGAGCGGGCTTGGGAGAGACTCAAAGACTGCAAGTAAGTACTCTAGTAACATGGTAGCCTAGATTCTCCCTCTACTGGGCTCAGAACTTGTTATGCTTGCCCCGGGGCCAGGGAGTGCCTCTTCATCATCCTCCCTGCCTGAGATCATCTTTTTTTTCTCTCTCTCGTCTTGGAGACTGGGGAACAATGAAATTCAGGAACGTCATCGAGACTTGGACCTTTATTGGAAAACTAGGAGTTCCAACTATGCACTGAGACACATAAGGGAGAAAAATTCTTGAGTCAATTTTGAGAAACACCACGATCGACATCCATGAGGATCTAAGCTAGTTACCAAAAAACTAAATCAGTCAGAACAAAACTCGTTTTTAATCCCGGACGTAATCCCAATATTACCAGTGTTGTCTGAACAAAAGACAAAAAAATGGGTGGAGTAATGGAGCACAACTGAAAGTGGAATACTCGCAGATAATACCTCTCAGCTCTTCCTATTAGATAAATACACACAAAACGCATAATGATTTAACTAATGTAAAATAAATAATCAGTATAAATACACAAGATGGGCTCTAACAGCAGAAAAAAAAGGGAAACAAGTCATACTGGATAGAGAAACAGAAATACCTCCCGCGTCGACCCTCAGTGAATGAACGGGGGATTCCGCCAATGGAACGCTTCGATATCGACCTGTTTAACACGCAGGAAACCCGTGGCCAGAGGACTTTGTACTTTGGCAAACTTGGCTACGTGATAGGGTGAAGAAAAGACGTTTGGACAAGGCCATGACTTATCTCGAGCATGGTGAGTGAGGGGGGCGAAAAAATTAAAAATGGAGGCACTTATGGGGGGGCCCACTCAAGGCACGACACAACAGACACTGCCGCTTATGAAAAAAAAAAACCTTTACATGACTATATCGTATATATCACGATTATTATAGCGAATGCAGGGAGCTCACTCCTTCGCGCAGCCCTATCGTCACTTGAGACCAGAATATTCTTGTGCTCACGCTCGATTCCCTTTCATAAATAACTGGAAGCAGTAAGAAAAAAAAAGCCAAAGATAGGCAGATCCACACTCACTCACCAAGACACCTACACATTTTTTTGTTTTTCAAGGCACAGTTCCTGCCCTGGTTCAAGAAAGAGAAAAAAATAGAGACAGCTATGCCCGTGCAAACACTGCTAATATAGCATATTCACACTGCTGGCTACATTCATGGCATGTGGAATAATTTGGTCCCGCTATCGGATATGAATTTCACTGAAAGGGATGAGAAATATCTTTTGGTCCACAGTCCTTGAGCATAAGGAAGACAGACACGCTAATGCAGCCGATACCGGCATAATGGATTGAAAGGAAGAAAAAAAAAAAGGAATGAATGAAATGACTGTTGGCCGTGAGTCTCAGCGGTCGGCATCCAAGGCGAGTCGGGAGAAGACGGGAAGACGAAGGGATCGGGAAGGGCAATGGTCAGAGAGGGTCAAGGCATCGAGGTCAGAGCCGAGGGATCCCACCGGCGAAGGTGGAGTGTCGAGGAGAGGGATCAACGGGGGAGTCGGGGGATCGACGCGATGCGACAACTCGTTCCTCGCGTTCATCGCCGCCACCCCGCCATAGTTGTTGAAGTTGCCCTGTGGGGGCGCTGGGGGCAGGCGAGACGAAGCAACGTTGAAGAATCCCCCCGTCGGAGAGAACGGCGAGTAGAAATCCCCTTCCCCTGCCCCAAAGAAGCTCTGAAGTGAGGTCGGAGACTCGGAGAGTGAGGACGTGGGTGAAGGAGTAGAACTCAGACTGAGGGGTCGAGGCCGGGAACAGCTATTGTTGCTGTTGGGCACTGGCTTCGGCCGCGCCTCTTCGGCGTTGTGAATGAAATGACACCTCGGCCCGTAGGGACAGAAGCCGATCGTGTGGAAGGTGCGACACAGTTCAGTCTTGTACTTGGGATGACGAGCCAGCGTACGGATCTCGCCGATCCCGTGCGCAAACTGGCATTTCTCACCGTACTTACAATGCCCATTTTCCTCGAACGGCCGACACAGCTCTGTCTTATATCGTGACGAGTTGATGTTGGCTCCTCGAGGCTTCTCGACACCGTTGTTTTTATGCACAGGCTCACTGTGGCAGCGATCCAGCTTCCGATGAGCTGCTACTGCAGAGGGCGCGGGAGGTCCAAGGCTGTTGTTGTTGCACATGACATTGTTGTTGTTGTGGTGGTGGTGGTGGTGACTGTTGTGATGCTTCAGCCCTCCAGCCACGGGGTTGGAGCTGCGACGACCCAACGGACTGCCCCATCCCACAACTTTGGAGAATTGTGGCGAGCTGGGCATGGTCGAGCCCTATGGGCACAAGAACAAGGACCAGTTCCAATGACCAACTCACACATTCTCAACGCATCCTCCCCCCCCGTCCCGAGATAAGAGAATCGAGCTTAAAGCTGGCTCGCGCCGGAGACTGGCTCAACAGCTACACAGCACAGCTCGAATAAGAGAGAGAAAGAGAGAAAGAGAGAGAAGTAGCACAAGCAAGTAGGATAGGCCTAGTCCCCGGCACGAGAGAAGTGAGAGAGAGGCGCGGAGCTATTCTGGCGTAGCACTCACACACTCGCATGAGCGAGAGGATATTATTCTATCTAATCACAGCCACTGCCTATGGGATGCTTTGAAGACACCAAGGACGGGTCCTGTCTTGCATTCACATCCGTTTGCCTCGTCTTTACAACGAGGACGAAGTACATACTGCCACATGTCTTTGCTCCGACAGCCACATGCTGCATTAAACATAACTTTCACTGGGTAGGCGACATCGACACTGGATCGTCTCGACCCCGTGGCATTTCGCTCACGCTATTTACATTTACAAGGGAATACTTAGAAAACTGCAGTTGTACGTCGTAAATCGATATCGTCATCGACTTATCCATAAAGAGTACTACGTCCTCAAAGCATCTCCATACCTGCTGAATTCCGAGGTTCGGGTGCGACATCACGATTTTCGCGAGAGGACGCGAGATTCATTCACGTCAACTACCTCGTCTCCGTCTCGATTCTCGAACCATTTGAAATACGGCGGTCACGTACTCGCGAGACATTCCTCGGCCTCGTTGCCAGGGCACGGACACGAAACGCAGTAGGCCACAGTTCAACAATCCACCCACTTCCGAGCTCTCCGACGGAAACCCGATCCGCCGAACGCCGAAACATCCGACAGAGAAGCTTCGAAATGCGTTATTTTAGGCCAACCTCTAATCGATGGATCGGTTTCGTGCCGAGGGCCCACCTTTCCCACAGATACTCGCTCTCTTTCTCTCTCCGAAAGAATGCGAAGGGGGACGAGAGAAAGCAGGAACTCACCTTGTAAAAGGCGTCGTTCACATCAAAGAACGAAGACACAATAGCCGTGGACATGCCGGTCCCATCAAGCATTCAGCTCGATTCGAGTAGGGAACGGAACCTCTCAGCACGAGAGTCAGCGAGCGACTACGCCTGAATCCCCTCGCCAGCACATCTTTTTCTAGTCATGCCGCCACAAGCAGATAAGCAGGCTCTAGCCTTGATCGGGCATGGGGGAGGGGCGGGCTCCCGGGCCCGGCTCAACCAATCGGGGGGCTTGGCGCGAAATTACGTCATCCACAACAACCAGCAATGTGCTTCTCTTCGCATGCAACTCTCTATTCACTCACAACTCCCTGGCTTTTTTTTTCCTGAGTAAAAAAAGAAAAAAAAAAGAAAAAAGAAAAAAAGAAGAAAAGGCCTTCAGAAAGATTCTCGCGACCGTCAACACAAGGGGGAAGAGCCGTTCGTATTTCCTACGGAAGCAATGCGTGCTAACTGCGCAAAAACCCGAGCAGACCATGTGGACGGGAAGGAGGGGAGGCATTTCCCCTTCGCGTACTGGCCGTACTGTGGGATTCGCGCGGGATTCGATACGTGCATCTGCGGAATCTCAAACCCGTGTCTCCTGATAGTCACGGTCTTCAAAATCGACAACTGGATCAAGGATTTCTCTTTTATCTTCCATTGCTGATGAGATTTCGCATTGTTCCGAGCCGAGGGAAGGATATTCATCGTGCATTGTGCACCGATCTCACAGGACCAGTCCTCAAGGGCAGAGGAACCTTGAAAAATAATGCGCGCTTCCATTACCTGCTAGGACATTTGTATTCAGCTCCGACTGGCGAGATGCACTTTTTTTTTATACCCTTGAAGTGTACCCCTGGCTCGTACTGTTGTCCGTGACGTCAAAGATAGACGGCAGACTTCGGGATGCGTGCCAGATATTGTTTTGATTGCGAGCGAGCTCGGGGAATGAACTTTCTCCCTCTTCGTTCCTTCACGCTCTCATAAAGACGAGTGGGAGGTTCCATTTTCATGATAGGGCCCCATGAATTTGCCGGCCAGATCCCGACTTTCACCCGTGTCCTTCCGCCCCACCCGCTCGGAGTTTCCTCCTTCGAGGTGAGCAAAAAAGTGGGTGGGAAAATGGTCAGGCCGTCCATTTCTCACGATTCGAGGCGCAAATCAAAGGGGCGATACACGTTCATCGACGAAGGTCCTTCCGAAAATCTTTTCAAGGTCACGAAAGGAGACACGATGGAAAAAAAAAAAACTGGGTTAGACCGTGTGATCTCTAGGCGTATCGTCTCATGCTTGGCGGGTCATCCGCTACAATCTCACGGAGACCCGACGGCGGGAAATGACGCATGTGAGGGCAAGCTTTCAAGGTCATGGGGGGGAGACGTTTTTTTCCCCCCTCCCTTTCCTATCCCCCCCACCTCACTAACCCCTCATTCCCCCGCCGAATGCATGGAAGCGGAAGCGGGGGGTTTTTAGATGCGTAGTTTCTCTTCCCCTTCCCATGTGAGTATCGCGTGCACGGTGCTGTGTGCGAGTCCCCCGAGGCTATTCGAGTCCTTCTCCATCTTTCCCTTCTCTCATGCACCCCCGGCACGTACTGTACTGTTTGCTTTCCACTCGTCCCACTCCCACCCTACCCTATATCCCAGACGACGCCGGACGCAGGCACTCCATCGTGCGATCGCATGAGACCTACTCCGCGATTTCTGTGCTGATCTTCGCGGGGCCGGACGAGCTGAATCAGCATCCCTGCTTTTCGTGCCGGTGGACCGGAAACAGGGTAAAGGATGGCGATAGGGCACCTCGGAACCAAAACAGCATCCTTGAACATCCACTCGCAATCCCGATACCGATTCGGCGACCTACTCTCGGTCTCGTAGTGAGCAGCCTTAACAGGAAACGCCCTTTCTGGCCGTTTTTGAACTAGGTCGGACTCTCAAAATAATTTCGGCGCAAGTTTTAAAGCCGCTGACGTAAAACAGGCACTTTTTTATCGTTTCCAAGATATCGCAAGTTTTTTATCGTTTCCACACCGGAACAGCTATTGGGGCAAACTAATAGCCGCGATACGGTACGCGAAGTCTTTGCTAGTAGGAAACTCGTGACAATTTGCTCAATTCAATGATTCGAAGGTATTCCCTTCGAATTTCTGAAAGGAATGTACGAGCGCTCGTAGCACTCGGGCGATCCCGAACCGCCGATCACGGACTCGAGCAAAACGCCGAGCGACCCGAGAGTCCTCGAACGCTCGTGACATTACCCAGTAAGAATCGTGAAAGCCACAGCCCTATTCACAGCGGCAACAAACTCCCAAGAAATGGGGGCGGGCGAATTCCGAACAATAATGGTCCTCCGGCGGCGACCGACTCGACACCTCCATTCAGGGGCATGTCACGAAGCGTGTCACGAAGGCACCATGGAGGGGACACATCCCAGCGAATTTCTACCCAATATGACATACGATAGCAAGACGAAAGTCAGAATACCCTTAGGAAAAAAAGGGATACAATAAAGGGATCGTTTTCGATCGAGTAACGTACTTCCGTGTATGCGACCAAGAAAGATAAGTTGGATGAGTCAGCGACATTGGAACGCCGTAGACTTCAAATCGCTTATCTACCTTAGGTGCCGAAGTGAGGAATAGGTTTCAGCCTTTGTCCGAGCCATACAATGCCCACTTACACAATTTACAGGTGGGTCGTTCCACCTCAAGTGTGCCAATGGTCTGCGTTCAACCATCCCAGAATACAATGAAATTTGAAAAAGCAGCCGGATCACGTAAGAACAGCCAAGTTTTTGTGGGTCTCTACGGTAAACGAGGGTCAAAATACTTTTGAAATTTGTCACTGGGATAAATAATGGCTGTTCTGCGTTTCAACTTCCCTGTGTTATTGGCGTGATTCGTACAACCACTAATTTGTAATTACTTTGTAATTACTCAGGTGAACGAAATTACGTGGGAAACATAGCACCTCTAATCACTCGATACATCTGTTCATAGGTCATTCCGCTCTATACTTGACACTGGTGTCGCGATTCCCACGGAGAGAAGAGGGGGATTTAAATGTTTGCAATATCGGTAATATTATAATAGAATGTTTTATTATTCTAATTCCTAAAAGGAATAACAGTGTTAGGCTTGCTTTCTTTTAGCGTTAATTCCAGGTTCCAGCCAACACTTCAGGGCAAAGTACCAGGAAGTTAGCTTCTGGGGAGATGACTTCAAGATGCATCATGCAGATGATGAACCGGCGAAAATTATTATTATTATTATTATTTTAAGATGCGCATGTATTACATGATGCTGCGTGCTTTTCCTCCACTATAGTGAATTATAGGCGGAAATTTAGACTTTCTCCACAGTCCATTATGATTTCATTGCTTGGCAAATTGACAATCCATTCCACTTCAAGGACTTCCCAGTAACTAACGACAGGGAAAGTCTCGCAATCCACTCGAAGACAAAAAAAAAAAAACAAACGACAACAGAGGCAGCCTTCCATTTCGGGATCGCATCCGTCCGAGCGATTCCTAACAAGGAAGGAAAAGGCCCTTTAGGGTCGGCCTTCGATGGCCCCGATGGGGGATATAACGGGTGTCTCAAGGAAACTTCTTCTAACGGTCAACGAGGAACAAGGAAGAGAGAAAGTTGGCCTCTTCAAGGCGAGGGACACTCTTGACGTCACGAGACCTCCCGTTCCTTCCTTCCTGGGGTCGACGCCTCCTTTCGCAATCCCCACTTCAAGGCCCATATCGAGGGATGGAGGTACCGGGGTTCCCCTTCTCCACGTTCGCTTCTGCTCGCTCCAAGTGTCTGCCTTTCTCGGTCAAAGGGGCTCCGAGGGAACGTAAAAAAGTCATTAAAACTCCCCGTCTCTATTTCACAGAACGGGGATCGGTGAACATTTCATTTTAATTTCACCGTCTCGAGAGAATGTGTTGCATCGCACGAAGAACGACGTGGGCCGATCCCATTTTCTTTCCTGGCAGGGTGTCTGTCCGTCCGTCTGTCTGTCTCGTGGGCATTTTATGGAGGCATATAACGAGTGCTCGCTTCCATCCCGAGTGCATCTCCCTCGGCTTTCCTCCGAGAAATTCCTATTATTGCCATTTGGGATGGGGGGCTTTCACGGGGTCTTCATTGAGGGAGCCCGTTTATGGGACTCGGGCCTGTCATTATCCCCGGGTCCATGATCACGAGATGCCAACAATATGGACCCAACCATTCATCTGTAAACGCCTCAAGGTTTGGGGACAATCGAGCAGTGCTGTCCGATGAAATCGTTCGACTTGATGAGGGAATAAGGCCCCCTCAGGAAAGCGATTTTCCGGATCGGTTCACTCGATTTCCCATCCCAAGCCAGCCAAGACGTACTCATTTCCTCACTGGTATCCTTATGTTTCGATGTGAGAAAGTAGCAGATCGACTTGAAACATTTTTGCAAACTCGCTTCGTTTCGATCGGTAAAACAAACCCGGCTTTATCTGGCTCGTGGAAGTCCGAATCCCCAGGCAAAAACCATCAAACAGAAGCAATCTAATTAAAGAAGCAAATAAGAGTCAAAGAAACCCTCCGGCTACGTTCTGCCCGCATGATAACATCCACAAGCTGTAAAATGGTCTCTCATTGGTTTCCATTATGTGAATCAGCACAAGCACGAGTGTTTCATAGAGAATGTGATCTTTTTGCCAATTGAAAAGAAGTGTCTTTCGTCAGTATCAATTCGGTAATCCCCGACTGCATGTTTTAAATTCTTCATTGCGCCACTCGTCCACCACTTTAGCAAAGACTTAGGTACTTAAAAATAACATTTTTGCAACGGAAAAGAAAAACACAAGGACATTGAGGATTCCATGTCCTCGAGATTCGCGAACTCATACGAGATTACTTTCTCTTATTTACATTCTCGCAATACCTACACAGAAGAAAATGATTCCATGGAAGGGCCAGAAAATACTTTGTTACCGCACGCAACATTCGGACAACACTGGAAACGCTGAAAAGAACTGGGGTGACTGCGATGACGGTGGCAGATATTCCTCCTTGCATGCATGAGTCACGGTGAGTCCTGCATATACAGGATGATGTGAATCCCAGCTCTTCGCGGAAAAGAGCTCGACTCACCCCCTCCCCCTAACCCCCCCCCCCCCTTCCCCTTCGATTGCATTTCGTGCCTTCACCTCGCT